TTTCTGGCTTGCACGGGGGCGTTCGGGGACACTTACCGTCTCTGTAGGACTGCAGGGACTCATCTCCCCAGGACGGGGGGAACGGGGACAGAGGAGACCGTGGAATGCTGCACTCGGACATGGGGGTCATGCTCTTGCGAGGCACGAAGCCGTGAGCTTCCCTCTCTCGGCTCGGGGACGAGGGCTCCGCTCCCATCGCCGCTTGCAGCATCGGATGCTCCGATGAGTTGGCCAACAGCTCCTTGAGGATGTTAATGGGCGAGATGGTGAGTTCCCAGTTGGTAATACCAAAGTCTCTCAGGTGGGCTCTGGCGTGGCTGGAGAGACCCGCTCGCGTGTCGAAACCGGCCCCACAGAATTCGCACCGCATCAGGCTGAAAGTACTCGGGTCGAAGTTTGCAACTGCGGAAAGAAGGACAGACAGTCAGCGCCACCGCCGAAACCCCTGGATCAGGCCTCCGAGGGGGGCGTTTATTGCACCCGAGACAACCACACGCCACCGGTTGTGCCGTGGCCACCACGGTTCAGGTTGACCACAGTACCATACGTACCCAATTCTCGATGGGAGGAGGAAACCCCACCGATTTAAAACAAGAAAATAGAAAGCACAGTGAATTGAATACATACTACCTTTTTTCTTCTTCTTTTGGAAGGAAAATTTTTGCTCAATAGCTTTCACTTCTTCCGCTGAGATGAAGTGACGGACGTTGTAGCTCACCCCCACCCTGTTGAGGTGGCCCCGCACGTGGTTCGCCAGCCCGATCCCGTTGTGAAACCTGTCTGGGCAGTAGGGACACTTCCTCTCCTCGTTCTTCAGCATGGGCGAGTCGGAGTCCAAGAGGTCATCAAGCTCCAGAGGACCCTCCAGAGGAGAATCCAGTAGGAGCATATCCAAGGGAAGGGGCTCTTCCATCATGAATTCCCGGGAAGGGAGTGTTGTTTTCTTCTTGAGCGGCTTCCCCCGGGGCCGCTTCGTCGCCTTGGGGTGCAGGTTCACCTCCTCCAGGAGGACGATGGGGACCATCTTCCGCAACTGCTGCTGCTGCTCCTCCGAAGCTATCGAAGAGTCCGTGGCTTTCAAGGTGTCTCTGAACGTCCTCTTGAGGTCCAAGGCAGCTTGAGGGATGGTGACGGGCTTGATGCCTCTGTTCTCGCTCAAATCCATTTCTGTGCTTACGGAGATCTCCTCCTCCATGCTCCCAGCATCGTTGGCCAACACCCACTTGTGCCTGAGCTCTTCCAGCCCCATCGGGTGGCTCCTGAGACCATCGCCTTCTCCTTCAAGGTGCTGAGCTGCTGCTTTTTTTTTCAGCTGCTGCAGAGCAAACTGGGAATAAGCTTTAGCGGAGGAAAAACCGGACAAGCCCAGGTTTTTATGCGGGGCAGCGTACGGAGCTGCTTTCCTGGCATGAAACCCTGGTGTCTGGTAGTCCTTTTTACTAGCCCCGTTGCTTTTGTCGAGTCTCGGGTGAGTTACGGCAAAACCGTGGACCCCTTCGTAATGCGATGTGCTTTCTCGGTGAGGTGGAGGGAAGAGCCGGTCTGCTTTGCCGAAATAATCCGTGTCTGCGAACCGGCTTGGCCTGGCCGGGCTGTAGGCATCTCTGCTGGTTCCTGGTTGATTGGGATCATCCTCGTACACCTCCGTGTCCCAGGAGAGGTGGGAATGGGCGTATTTCATGTGGTCCTTGAGGACGTTCTCGTTGGGGGCCGGGAAGCTGCAGAGCATACAGGTGCTGAGCCCTTTGCCGCTGCCTTGAGGTGGCACCTGCATCTGCAGGGACACGTGTTCATTTGGTTTGAAGTGTTTGTAGATGCCGTGCACGGGGCTATCCCGTATTTCTCCGCTGCCCGCGCTTCCGAAGAGATTCATGTTCTTTGCCCCTTGGTCCTTCCTCTCCTTGACGTGCATCTTGGCGTGCTGGACAAAGATCTTGGAGGAGTTTGTACCAAAGACACACTTGGGGCACTGGAGCCGGGCTTCCCGACCTTCGTCTGGAAACTCGTTCAACTTCTGGATCTCTTCGATAATTTTTTCCCTAGACTCTTGGTGGAGCCTTTTGTGCTGCTCCAAGGACGTGGGGTCTCCAAAGGCCCATCCGCACTCATTGCAGCAGAATTGACACTGCCCTCCCAAAGCATCTCTGTCTTGGTCCCTCCCTGGTCCACGATTATGCTGGAGCATGTGATCCATCAGATGTTCCTTCTTCTTGAAGTAAATGCTGCACTCGATGCAGGTGTACACTGTAGGGTCCTCCTCCGGACCCAGCTCCTCTTTCCCCTGCTCCTCCAGCAAGACGCTGCACACGTAGGGCCTCATCTCGATGTCGTAGGAGCTGCAGGGAGCAGGCTCCAGAGACATCAGTGGGATCCGCTCCACTGAGTCTTCGGCATTTACCGTCCAGGACTGTTTGCCGACGGTGAGGTCCGCGCCGAGCTGAAGACCCGGCTTCTGTATTGTCCAGTCGGCCACGCTGACAGGGTTGATCTCGCCCAAGTCCGAGTTGACCATCAGCCCCTTCCTGTGGGACGAGGAGCTCTCCAGGGATTTGGACTTGCCGAGGACAGGGTTTAGCGTTTTTCTGAACACCGTCGGAGTCAGCGGAGGAGGCACTTCACGCACAGCCTGTCCCCGAAAGGGCAAGTTGGTTGCTACATCTGTCGGCTTGCTTATGTCTTTGTAGTGAGGACTTGGGCTTTTGTTGGGTCTAGAAATCCAGTCGACCCTCTGGATTCCTCTCTTGCTTTTATCTAAGTGCTCTTTGCTGAGGCCTTCAAGTTGCTTTGGTTCATTTTTAAGATATTTCTCTTCCCCGCCGCCAACCGATGCCCCCGCACAAGGGCTGGGCGTCTCTGCTGCCGCCTTGCCACCATCCAGGTCCTCGGAGTCGCTCTCCAGTTGCTCAGGATCCACCTGCACAGTATTTACAACCTGGGGCTCCACGGCGAACGCCGACTCCTTCACGCACCGCACGTCCTTCGAGTCCTTCAAGCCAGAGAGTCTCTCTAAAGTGCTTTCTTCTCTCCCGTCGCCCGCTCTCGTCTCCAGGGCGGAGGTGTCCCAGGTGACGCTGCCGGACACGGTCATGTTTCGCAGGTCTAGGGAGCTCCTGGCATCCGTTCTGTACAAAGCCTTCTTGAACTCCAAATGCTCTTCATTCGTGGAGCTGCAAGTAAGTTTTGAGAGTCAGTAACCGGTTAACGGGATAATACAAACATTTCCATTTACAAAAGGGTTGTCCTGGAACCAGAGCGAGCCTACGTGGTGTTACAGCATAACACAGGCTGGGAATTTCACGGTGACTCCCATATCGCCCAAATTGTTAAAGACTTGGCACAAAAACAAGCCCTTGGCCATGCGCAGCTAGAATAATTTCTGCATCTTCTTCTGGGCTTGCTCCAAGCCCATTGCAGCGATGGCTGTAGCTGCTCCCTACGGTGCCTCTTCCACGTTCGCGCCAGGCACAACAGGAGCGTTGGGTTCCCATCACCACATCCCCAATTCCTGCCATGGGCCAGAAGTCACCTTTCCCTTGCTCCACCCCCCCTCTCTGCTTCTCCTTCCCTTTCCCTTGCTAACTCCTCGGGTTGCTCGGACACCTTATCGCCTCCTTTTTTACGCAGCCCGACAGAGATATTTGCTCTTAACAATGACACTTGTCCCTATCAGGCCAAAGAACAGGCCAACGAGCTCTTCAAAGTTGCACAAAAACAGATTTAAGTGTCAACGTGGACCATTCCAAAGGTCTCTGGGACCAAAGGATGGTTTGTCTCCATGATTAAATGAAAGTCCCTGGGTGATCCCTCTCCACAGCAGGAGCGGGGAGTCTTTCTTGCCTGTGCAGAGACCTCAAGCCACAGTGGGATCGAGGTGGTTCCTCCCCATCCTCTTCCAAACCCTCAGCAAGGACCCCAAAGCTAGGAAGACCCCACATCAAGCAGCTGGAGAACGTGAGCCTCCATGGGGTGAGCTCTACAGCGGGACTGGCTGCCCCATGCCACCCAGACGGGTGCTGCTGGTACCACCACGGCACTGAAGACGTGTTGGGTGTTAGAGAGGGGCCGAGCACACCCGTGGGCAGTCCCAGCCCGGTGGTTTTGAAAGTCCTACATTGGGCTTGGAGGCTTTCTCCTGGAAGGAGGGACATGGTGAGGGCCATGAGGGTGCCACAGAGGCACTTGGTGTTCTCCGAGATGCCTCGAGGGATTGGAGACACCTGCACGGGACCAACAGTTATGAGACAGGTTCTGCAAGAGCCTCAAGCCCTTCTGCTGGGGTGGCGAGAGACTCGTTGGGGAAGCAGAGGGCCTTGACTGGCACCAGATCCCCCCATTTAGGCTTCTGAACTGGGCCCAAGAGGCCCAGGAGCCCCGATGTCCCTGATGGCAGCTTCACAGGGGTTTGGCAGATGCCGGCTCTGGGGCCGAGCAGACACGGGCCATCCGCTGAGCTGCAGAGCGAGGCAAGACTCCTCCACGTCCCCATCCCTGCCCTGAGGATGCGACCCAGCTTCTGTCCTCCACGGCCAGCTTCATGCCTGGCTTCTCCCTCTACACAGCGCCCGTGGCACGGATGCACGGCCAAGAGCCGGATGCAAACCGCCACATCCCGGCTCCTGCTCCCTGCTAAACCATCCCTAGGGAAGAAACCTGCCAGACCGCAGAGCCCGACACCCGGAGAAGCCCGGTGACTCGAGACCTCGTGCAAGGAGCTGCTCCAGGGCCAGCAAAACACTATCTCACGGGTCAAGTTGTGCTGCCAGGAGAACAAAGCGCCTTTGTTGGAGACAGCAGGGCTGCCAGTTCCACATGGTTCTCGTGCTGCCTCTCTCTCTCCTTCCTTTTAAACCTATTTATTTCCAGCTCGTTCCTGGAAAAAGCCAAGTTTAGGGGCAAACCGACCCTCACACCCCACCGCAGTCACCCTCCCAGCTCCAAACCTTTCCCTATTTTTACTCGGGACAAATTACTGTGGACTGGAGGACGGGCTCGCCATCGTCTGTGGCTTGATATCAGGGAAATGTGATTCCCATGTGCACCGTAAACCCTGCAAACGTTATTAAAAATAACTCGCTAAGGAAACCGCTGGCCCAGGAAGGATCAGTCAACAGCAGATACTAAAATAAGCCCATTAAAACGTGCTGGGCATTGGTTGCATTGCTAAACAGGCTAAGACAGAGAGCGATTCTGAGCCAGGCACGGGTCCCCAGTGCCACGAGGGACAAGGACCCTTGCTCTGCATTAGCCTTGGGCTGGTACCCCAAAATCTGCCTTTTCCAGGGTGCTCAGAGCTATTTGGGACACCCCTTAACAGCTTCGGGACACCCAACGCAATCAAATCAAGCATCCACCTCCCAGCGTCTCTCTCCCTCGCAGCAGGGACAGCCCCAGCAGCACCGAGGGGAACCCGGATGGCTCCGAGGGGTAATTCAGGGTAGGCAGAAGCAGGGTGGTTTGTTGGGAAGCGGGACAAACGAGATGAATTAGAGCAGCCAACACTGCTCTGCAGCGAGGGGACTGTGCTGCCTGGCTCCGAAGGGACCTGCTGACGTCCTCGGTGGCGGGACAACCCTCTTCGGGGACAGCCAGGGAGATATTTTGGGGCTTTGTGTAACTGGAGTACCAGTAGCAAAGGGAGCACTCTGGGACATCCCTTGGGAACTTACCCGAGTTCGGTCCTGTGAGCTGTGGCTGGGATGGCACCAGAGAGGGCAGGATCAGGCTCATCTGCAACAGAGAGGAAAGCTCCAAGGTCAGTGCCCAAGTGAGGCTTCTTCAACGCAATTTGCAATAAAGTGATTGTATTTTTTGAGCGTGTTAACAAAGCTTTCCCAGCAGATAAACCCCCTCTGCTCCTGCTGCCCGTCCTTCCCTCCTACAGCCGGTTCCGGATTACGGGAGGATTTCCAAGCCACACTTAAGAGGGTTTAATCCCACGCACAACTATTTAATGTATAATCGTTCCTGCAGCTAAGCAGTTTAACGGGAAGATGCACACGCCGCTGGCCGCACTCTCACCACCCCTGCTTGCCAGAGAGGAGTATCCGGCACGGAGCCATGGCCGAGCAGCTGGACAAGGGCTGTCTTGGTCCACCCCGTGAAGAAGACCAGTTCCCCCGGTTCTACGGATGGGGCTCACAAATCTCCCCGGTGTCGGCGTTGCTTCCCTGCCCTTGGACCGGCACGCAGGGTTTCTCCGGGTGCCCAAGCATCATCTGGGGCTTGGAGGAGCTTTGCTTCGCTCCGGTGTTGGCCGAACCCCCGGGATGGCTCCTGGGCTAAAATCACCTCCAAGCCTGCTCGCGAGAAGATGCAAGGCAGGATTTCAGGCAGCGACGACAGGGAGGCGAATGCCTCCTGAAGATCTGCAGGGCCTGCTGAGATATAATCAGACCCAGACACGTCCTTCCTCAAGAGGAGGAAAACCTTCAGCTGTCTCCAACGAAGACGCCTGGATCGAACCTACCTGGCCCAGAGGCTCTGTCAGCCGGGGCTGAGCTCAGGGCAGGACACGGGGGTCTCGCTCCTCACGCCGGATCCCCCCGCTCCTGATCTGGCCACGCGTTGCCTCGTCCCAGCTGTATGGAAAGCAGGGACTCGCTTGTTATTACAGGCGAGGCTGGGCGCTTGGGGAAGCCGAGGTGTAGCTGGGTGAAACCATGTTGTTTCCTGCTGCGAACCAGCCCCAGGCAAACAAGCCTGCTGCTAGGACAAGGAACTGTCCCGCGTCCCTGGTCCCATCATCGTCATCTTGGGTCATGGGCAGCCCAGCAGCCCGGCCCCAGGCAAGCAAGCTTGCTGTTGGGACAAGGAATTGTCCCCCGTCCCCCACTCCCGTCATCGTGGGTCATGGGATGCCCAGCAGCCCAAGAGTTGCCTGGAGCTCACCGGCGCGGTGGAAATAACCAGGAGGCCACGGGAAGGAGGTGTCCGCAGCTTGACGAAGGGTGCGGACACAGCACAGACCATGCCTGGGGCTCACAAAGGAAAGGGACGTGCGAGGAGCAGCTCAGCCTCCACCACGCCCCGTCCAACGACCCAGAGAGCCTTTACTGTTGAACGCAAATATGAGAGAGAGTGCAGGATCAAGCTGCACGTCCTGGGAAGGAATCGGGGAGCGCTTTGGAAACGCACGGCCAAGGAGATGGGGTTTGCTGCAGCTGTCTGCAGGCTCAGCCCATGAGAGCCTCTGCAGCCCAAACTGACCTCTGTCCCCTCCGGGATGGACGCAGCCGCTCACAGTTTGCATTTATTCTACGGATTACTGGTTACGTGCCGTAAAACCAGGAGGAATGTGGTATTCGTGCCACCACACTGGTTATGGAGATGGGGAGGGCAAGGCAGGACCTGCCCTGAAAGCAGAGGAGGGACGTGAAAAGCCAGGGTTGGCTTCCCATCCTTCTAATATCTTAGGTGAGCCACCTTAGAGGCGAGACTTTTAAGGCTGAGCATCTCCAACATGTAGGTCTCATCCGGAGATGACGGGGTTGGAGCTCTTTCATCTAGATGCAGAGCTGGGACCACGCACATCGCCGGGGTTTATCCGGCATCGGCGCTGTCAGAGCCCGTCCTGGAGAGGTGGCAGCACCCCTGGCTCCCAGGAGATCAGCTCCTTTGGACTTCAAAAATCATTTCGGAAAAAGCCGGCGGGATCCAGAGCCAAGCTGCCGAGGTCATGGGAGACCGGCAGTGTTCATTCAGGAAAGCCTGAGTCACCAACCGGCCGGGGTGGGAATGCCAGGGGAAAGGACGGGGGGGAAAAAAAAACCAAACAAACAACCCCAACCCTCCCAAATCGGCAGATTTTAAAACGCTTCCATAAATCCCTAGCGCGTGGATGGAGAGGGGCAGAGAGCACCGATCGCCGAGAAGGGACTGTGGCAGGAGCCTTCCAGGGACTCTTTTGTTCTCTGGAGCTCCAGCACGGCTCCTATTTTTAGAAACTGTCTCCTTTAGAGGAAAACATGCGGTGATTTATCTTTCTCCTGATGAGCACGTAACTGCACTCCCTGCAAATCCTGGTTTCTTGGAAACAGTGAGAGATGAGGGAGTTTAATGTCTTGGACTTAGGAGGCTCAAATTTACCCTCTATGGTAATCCAGCAAGAGCTGCTCCTCTAACCACAGGAGCGTGGCTGCAGCTTCTCCCGAGAGAGCACAGCGAATCTGAATTCATTTTTGAGCTCACGGCCTCTCCTCCAAGAGGCCGAAACACCCTCGTATCAGGGACACAGGTCTCTCCTCTCTGTTTTTCCTCTATCCCAAGAGTTAAAGCAACCCGGCCAGGACACCAAGACACTTTCAAAATCAAGCCATCACATGAGCCCACGGCCAAAACACACGCAAAAAGCCAGAGATAAGAGAAAACCCGTGAGTTTCCCAGCATGGGAGCGGTTACGCAGAGACCAGGAGCTCTCCTAGACGTGGCAGACCCGGCTCTAGACAAATTCGGCGATGGTTCCTTACATAACACGTTTCAAAGGTCGCGGACTGAGAAATACCGACATCTCCAGAAGAGCCGAAAGAGCCCCAACTCATCGAGGCTGTCACAATCAGGGTCGATAAGCAGAGGTTAACGGCACGCTCAAGAGGCTCGACAGCACATCAAGGTGCAAACATTTTGCCTAAACCCTTCACCACCACCCCAGCAAACACCAGGATGCACCTTGAGGTGCTTTTCCCCCATCACCACTCTCCGTGTGGCAGACGCTTCCTACGCAAAGGGTCAGGTTTATTTTGTACCGCATCTACTCAACACGTATTTTTTAAGACTAACGACACACTAAATGGTAGCTGTGATAATTAGCAAGGTTGCCCTGCTGCGTCAGGAGGTCACAGAGACGTTGCCAGATCCAACATCCAACGAAGCCAGCCCAATGAAGGTCCCCAACCATTGGGGACCGGAGGACGCGATGGATAAAGACAGGCTGGGGGAGCTGGGCTCCTTCTGCTTCAAGATGAGAGCATGAAGGTGCTGCCTACAGCCACTAGTCGGAGGGTGTAGAGAAGATGAAGCCAAACTCCTCCTGGACACGTGCAACGAGAGGACAAGGAAGTCACAACACGGGAAACTCTTCCCTGTGGGAGTGGGACAGCTCTGGGACAGGCCAGAGGGGTGGAGGATCTCCATCCCTGGGGTCGCTCAAAACCGGATGGGGCTTGAGCAACCTAACTTTGAAGTTGGCTGTGCTTCGAGCACAGGGGTGGGATGAAGACCTCCGGAGGGTCCTTCCAACCTCAATTATTCTGTGATTTTAGGATTAAAAGCCCAAAGAAGTTCAAGAGTCTAAAGCAAAGAGGTCTTTTGGGTGGTTGTTTCCATCAAGACCCCAGACCACCTTGAGACAGGGAGAGGATCTCTCTCCTGAAGAGTTCAGCCAAGAAACTGTATTCTCCTGGAAGTTTGCTGCCCAGCTCCCAAGAGGCGTCCAGTGACAGTTTAGAAGCGCATAAAGGAGCGAAGACTTAAAGAAAGCTCTAAAATACTATTATTTCCCAAACTTCAAACTGTGTAAGGCTCCACCCCCCGAATACAACAGAAGGTTTCCCTTCCATACAATCCTCCAAGATGGGAGGAAGGACACCTACCTGACCTCCAGGTGCTCTCTGCATCTCATATCTCAGCGATAGAGGCTGAGGAGGGAGACTCGGCTCCAACTCAAGCTCTCCAGCAGCTCCCAGATCAGCTGGGTTCCCACTGCAGAAGGACCGGCACTTCCAAAAGGACATCGGTCTGAGGATGGGGTGAACCCCTCTCCAGTCAGGGGAGGAAAAAAACCAGGCTCCTCCAGAGGGTGATGACTTGGTTTAGACCAGAACTGGAACTCGTCAGAAATGAAAAATTTAGCAACTTGGACAGGAATTTGCAATACCACTTGTCTGAGCAATCTGAGGGCTTCCAAAAGCCCTCAAAACCAGCCGATCACCTCCAAAAAGCCTTCACTGAGCCTACACGTGCTCTCCCAGGCTTTGTTTTTTCCCAGCCTATCTAAACGAGCTGAAAAAAGAAGCAAGAAGAGATATTTTAGCTCCTCTACAGCCAGGCTGAGGGACCTTGCCATTTAAGCAATGGTATTAGGCAAGGGGTGAGTTATTGCATCATCTTCCAAGTAACGCAAGGTGTCGCAAGGCATGATTTAGTTCTGGAATTAAAGACCAGCTCCTACTTAAGGCTCACGCTTTAATCTCGGGTGTTTAATTTGAGAGCAAAAGGTACCAGAAGAATCGCTCGTTGCCACCAGCAGCTGATAACAGCTTCTGCATATTGTAAATAACCTGGAAAAAAAAAAATTGGCTCGACACGTCGCCTTTCATCGTCCAAAAAAACATAAGAGCAACCAGTGGTGCCAAAAAAACCAGCAGACGGACCCGCACAGCAGGATTACTGCTCGACAGCAGTGGGAAAACACCACGTCCCCATGCCGTGGTGGGGCCGGAGCCGAGCAGCTGGGTTTTTACCGGCGTGCTACCACCCAACCCAACCATGGGGATTTCTGCTGCATCAGACGGCGCAGATTTGGGTTTGTTACCAGTGCAACGAGAAATCCCACGCTGGAAACGTTCAGTCACCTGGGGCTATATGATGGCCAAGAGATGGGGTGGGGTTTCCAGCCCCCAACACCACAGGAGATATTTAGCTCCCCAAAAGCTCGCTAGAAATGCAGGGAAGCAGGAGCTTCGTTTCCCACGTTCCAGCCCATCTCCAAATCCATCCCGCGGCCCCAAACT